TACTTAAGTTACCGTAGTAGGGACGTACAGTAAATAGTAGGGTTCCCCTTAACTGGAACCCAGCACCTCTGCTCCCTTAACCGGGTTCTTGTTAAGGTATTAACTTTAAGTTACCATAATAAGCAAACCATAATTATTATGGCAACTTAGATTAAATTCCTTGACAAGTCCCCAGTTCAAAATAACCTCGCATCAGCGCAAATCGTTCGAAGGGCCTTCGCTGTCGGAGCTACTCGAAGAGCTGGAAGCACCACCTGGCGTGGGCTTGGCATTCAGGGTTTAGGGTTTAGGACTTAGAGCTTAGGGTTTGGGGTTTAGTAGGGTGGAACCTTAAGGACCAAATGACCCGTAAAAGCAGGGGCCCTATACTCATATACTATGAATCCCGAATTTTTAAGGTATAGGAACCCTAAACCCTTTTAATGTTCTTTTCGTCCTTAAGGAAAGGGCTCAGTGCTTGGACAGCTACGTTTAATGAAACGTGGACCGGTGATGGGGCGCTCTTCTTTACCAAGGAATGTCGAGAAGGACGGGTTTACCCTACTTTTCGCGGAAAGCAAGCACGGATGTTAGCGTGGAGATCCATATACGAGGCGCCATAAACCAACAACACCAAGGGTTCAAACGAAAGAGACGCCGTAAAGATTACCCCTCATAACCTCAAACCCTATTAAACTCTGTAAGTAGAAGCCCCGAAGATTCCGAGGTACTTATAACTTCCTTGTGACCTGCGCTTATGGCCGAGGCTTTCGGTGCGTTAGAAGCTCCATAAGTATTACCTTAAGGACCAAAACCCGCTAATGTAGGAACCTGATTAAGAAAACCTGGAGCCTATAACCCCCAAATAGTAGGATTCGTATAAGGAGCCCCAAGAAAGGCCCAAGGTTTCTTAATCAGGTTCCAACACTAAACCCTCAACCCACAAACCCGAAAGTCTGAACCCTATATTCGAACAATCATCGTCACTTAATATAGGGGCCTTAATGATTAGAATATGGTTTTGGGACCCACTATACTAAAATTACAAAACGGAACCCCAAAAAGGTAGAGGTAATTCCTAAGGCTGGTTTTGCGACCCATTATACTATAATTACAAAACGGAACCCCCCAAGAATAGTATAGGTAATTCTTAAGGCCCCTATAATGCGTCCCATGAGCCTTCTGGTGGCAGTCTCAAGCACTAAGGAACCGGAGCACTAACCCACTGTGAAAGGCGAAGAATATAGAACGCGAACAAATGACAATACGGTTGATGATAGAAATCCTGCATTGCCTTAAGGACTCTACACTATGGGAATTATGATATCTTCCTTATTATGGGTAATGCAGGATTTGTATCATCAACCGTACAATTCTCTAGGGCTGTTCGGTATATTTGTGGTATTACATTTTTCTACCTGTCAAGGCCCCTATATGAGAGCGCTTGAAGTTTTGGGGGCCCTGGAGGAACCTCGGGAAGCATGTAGGCCTGCACGGTTGAGGGTTTGGGGAGTAAGATCCTCTATTCCCTGAGGCTCCAAATAGCTCAAATTCGGTAGCATTTTGTAGACTTTAGACCTTTCGACCCCGAAGTAGGCAGTATTTCTAGACTGGGAGCCCTGGGGACTATACTACGAAGTCCTAGGCTCAAACAGCTTAGGATGCTTTATGGTTTAGGTCTTTAGGGCTTCAGGGCGTAAGGGGCAGATTTAGGTTAAACAGTAGACATCATGAATCCAAAAACCTTAGAGCTCGAAACCTTCAATTGGAAAGCCCTACTTAAAGGCTCGAGAGACATAGATAGTAACATATAAGTAAGGGTTTAGGGTTTAGGGTTAATTACCCCACCTGTACCCTTAGCCTTAGCTATAACCCACGTACAACCTGCCTTGAGCCTTCAAATGCCCGCAAACCCTAAGCCCCCATAGCCTTCGCTGGAGGAGGAAGACGAGTCATCCGTCTCGCGCGCTTTGAGCGCCTGGTTCGCTAGATCAGCTCCGGGTTTGATATATGTGGGGTTTTATGACTCATGGCTTTTACTACTATTTGCTTAAGAACCCCCAAAAAATAAAACATATATTCCTTATGGTGGTAATATAGGGACTATTATTTTTTATTTTTTGGGTGTTTCTTAAGCAAGTAGTAGTTTAGAAATCAGGATGATGTGGGAACCAGAACCCTCCAGTATATTTCTCTTCTGGGCTGCCAACTCTATCGCGAAGGTTTTTTGCAAGGGAACCGGCAAAAAACAGCTAAAAATTGAGACTCTGTGAGATCATTTGACAGGATCTGTTACACAGACATTGTCTAGGAACCGTCACCACTCAGACCGCAAAGTATGTAATACTTGCATTCTGAGGGAACTGGTAAGTTTGTTACGTACATTACAAGTGGACTTGTGAAATCCATCGGCGAGCTAGGCTAGGCAGACATACGCACCTGCCTCAGAATTGGGTGAAAACTACAGGTACTCTCTTCTTCAATGATCGCCCGAAAAACGTGAAAAATACCAAATCTAAGGCCCAACGTTTAACATTCTCCCTTTGAGGAAGTACTCTATGTCGAGTTCAACAATCCCCAAAACCATGTGCAAATAGGGCTCATGGACCCCAAAATAAGACACCCCTAATTTTCGGAAACCCCCAAATCAGCCTATGATTCGGGAAAGCATCTCCTGCAACAGTACACAGGACTCGTTTCACCAAGTGCCTGCAAGTAGTCCTTGAGCTGCTGCTTGGCGGTTGCCTCAGCGATGTCGTTTGTGTTGGAAAGGTGTTTAAAGTTTAGGGTTTAGGGTGTGTAGGTGTTTTGCTTCTTGGCTCAAGGTTAGCAGACCCCCAAGGAACCCTGACAGGAACCCCTAAAACCCTAAAACCAAAACCGAGACCAACCAGCCATCCTGGGCCACTCACTGGGAGGCTGCCGATGGCCTGCGATGATCTTGGGCTTTAGGTGTCTAGGTCTCTAAATTTGGTACGATTCCATAAGGTTTCGGAAGGGGGGGAGAGGGGTAGCGGAGTTATTTGGGAGAAAAATGAGAGTTGATTCCATCAGGTTTCGGAGGGGGTTATGGGGTTGCATAGGGTTTAGGCTGTACCTTAAGCTCAGAAAAGCTTACCTTTTTCAGGACCTACATATATATATATATATGTATGTATATATATATATATATACATACATATGTATACATATATATATATATATAAACATATATATATATATATACACACTTTTTTTAGAAACCATAATAATGAACCCTAAGGAAAGATAGGTTCTTTACGGATCTCTATGGCATCGCCGCTTAGAAGCTGTGTGAATCGGCTCAGGGGCCGGGGGTCGGGCTTAGATTCGGCTCTGAAACTACCGTGTTAGGGTTTAAGGTTCAGGGCCTAGGGTTTCGGGATTACTTCAAGGCTCATGGGACTTAGTAAGTCAAGTTATAAGTAGGTTCTAATTAGGATAACCCCACTTAGGGGACTTATAACCCCAATTATAACCTACTTACTAAGTCCCATGATCCTCCAAGTAGGGTTTCGGGATTAGGGTTGAGGGTTTAGGGATTAGGGTCTAGGGTTTTGTTAGTTGGCTGATGCTTTTGGTTCATGGTTCAAGGTGTAGGGTTTGTGGATCTCCAACTTTCAAAGGGGAAAAGGAGGGACCCTTAATCGGGACCCCTACCCTATAACGGGCTATATAATGGGCTATATAATAGCTATATCAAGGGTGTATACCTAGGGGTCCTTATTAAGGGTCCCTCCTTTTACCCTTGGAAACTGGGCGTGTGTGTGTGTGTGTGTATGTTGTTCGGGCTTTGCTCTGGGAGTTAGGGTTTCGGGCTTAGGGTTGAGGGTTTAGGGTTTAGGGTTTAGGGTTTAGGGTTTAGGGTTTAGGGTTTAGGGTTTAGGGTTTAGGGTTTAGGGTTTAGGGTTTAGGGTTTGAGGGTTTAGGAGTGCCGGCACACCTACATAGACCCTGGACCCCAAAACCTTAGAGCCCTAAAGCCCTCAACCCTGATCCCGGGACCCTACTCGGAGGGTCGGAGGACTTGGTAAGTACTTATCTTTTGGACTTGTAAGTATGTAAACCCCACTTAGGCTCGCTTTTAGGGTACTTATAAATCTACTTAGTACCCACTTACTAAGTCCCCTGACCCTCCAAGCATAAGTACCCTAAATCCCCAGTCTCAACCCTAAACCCTAAACCCTAAAGCCCTGAAGCCTGATCCCGGGACCCCAGACCCTAAACGCTCAGCATGAGCCTTAACAACACGAAGCTTCACATGGGAGTTTCAGGACCCAAGACTCTAAGCCCCAAGCAGGATCCTCACAGAAACATAGACAGGTGCAGGGTTTAGGGTTTGAGGCTTATCCCCAAATAGTCGACCAAGACTAAAAATGACTGGAACCACCCTGGAAAAGGAAGACGCACCAACCTCCCTCTACTCTAGCCGGCAAACCCAAATAGCATTGCCCTGCAGTCCCCATAGATCTAGACCGAAATCAGCCCCCTTTCATCCCCAGCATCTGACAGCCTCAATGCTCCCAGCACTCCCCAGAAAGCCCGATACCCCGTAATTTAGGGAAATTTGCTGAAACCATGTTGTGAGGGGGCATGTGAAGCCCCTCAGAATTTATGGTATAATCCTGAATTAAGGGGCATCGGGCTCTTTGGGTTCTGAGTCCCGCCGAACCCTTGCAACTACACGATTGCGACCCTATTCTGCGTATAGGCAGGCCCCTGTATGGCGTGGGATGGTACATGCTCACCGGCTATGACACCCCTACAACCCCTGTAACCACAAAAACCTGTACGTAGAGCGCCCTGCACACTTAAAGCCCCAAAACCTAAATCCAAATACTCCAATCCTCGCGCACTTAAATCCCTAAACCCTCGTCCTAAATTCTGAACCCTTTCGGACCCTACACACTTAAAGCCTCAAATCCTACATCTTAATCCATCCCTCAGCACTAAAATCCCTAAAACCTGGTCCTAAACCCTGAACCCTTTCGGATCTCACTTCTTCAGCGGCAGGCCCTCCAAGGGCTCATGCATCCGTTCTGCCAAACCCAGGACACGATCACTCCGTCTGCTTGGACGGCTGCAAACCTGAGTTCCGCCCAGTATGGAAACCCTAAACCCTAAACCCTAAACCCAGGGCTTCGGGTATGTAACCCCTAAGTGAAAGCAAGGGCACTATAGGGGCCTTAATGGGTCTTTATGGTGTTTATTCGGCGTAAAGTACGGGCCTCGATTCTTACAGTAGGGGCATTGGTAGGTGATTTTATCAATCGATATAGCGTTGGGGGAATGTTAGACTATAATCATGCAGGGAAAATGGGAGCGACACAGTTATCAATACCATTGGTCCTCCTATTCAGTCGTAACAATGAGACCCCAAAAATTCAGAGGTACTAGTGGGCGACCCAAGAAACGATTCGCCGGATGCTTGGATCTGCTGCACAGGTGCTGTGCGCATGAATTCATCTACATCCCAGGCAACAGTGCCACCCCATAGCACCAAGGACCCATCATCGCGAACGGCCGCAAATGCATTGCCGGAAGCCTGAATCTGCTGTACATTCCGAAGCCTATGCTGGACACCTGCGCTGTCGCCACCATACTGCTTCGAACCCCAAGTGACCACAGATCCATCTGCCAAAAGAGCTGCAAAGGCGTTCTCCGAGGATTGGATTTGCTTGACACCCCGCAGTTGCTCTTGCACATGGTCAATGATGCTGCCGGACGAGGGATGCCCCCATGCCACCACGGTGCCATTTTCCGTTACCGCAGCGAAAGCTGCCATGGATGCTTGGATTTCGCAGACCCCAACCAGATTTTGCCGAACAGAGCCTTAGTTGCGGAGTTCATCAGACCAACAATGCATGTATTTTGAGTATGGTATCATCCCAAAAAGTGCCAAAAAGTGTACTCATTCGGCTACTAAGGAGCCACTGTCACCACCGCAGTCAGCATCGCCCCATGTTACCACTGACCCATCCTCCCGGATGGCGGCAAAAGCGCTACGGTTCGCCTGGACATGCTTCACATTCCTGACTTCGTCAATAAGCCACAGAAGTCAAAGGCTAAAACAATCAGACCTTACATCTTAATTAACTAGGGCCCCAAAAAAGCACATAAGCAAAAATCAGGATGGGGATATCCCATATAAATCCCCTTATAATGAAGCCCACTAAGGTAGGGATTTCCCTGTAGAATGCTTATGCTTATGTGCTCTTTGGGGTCTCAATTAACTGCAAGACCCCAAAAAGTTTGAAGGTTGTGTCCTCTAAGATTTTCAGTGATGTGGGAATAAGATGGGCTCCCGTTTTTGGTAGCCGCAAGAAGGACAAGGGCGAGGCGAGATTGGGAGACTTTGTGGAAGCTATAGGGTTCAGAAATTGAATTTAAAGTATATAAGATTCAGGGCTTAGGCATTAGGGTATAGGGTTTAGGGTTGGGATATGGGTAGTTCTCTAAAACAGGGTCCCTTTCCAGGTCACCAGAATGGTACGGCACCCTTATAGAAAGGACCCTGGGCAGTTTTACAAGGAACCCTAAGGCCGCAAAAAAGGGAAAAGGACCCATTAAGAGTCCTAGCACCAGGAATACACCCTAAACCCCTAAACCCCTAGAGCCTAAGCCCTGCATCAACTTAGCCTAAACCCTAAACCCGCAAACCCTAAACTATACTGAACTTAGAACCCTAGCAAACATTATAATTTTAGCTGTTTCTTCGGGATTATAAAAACCAAAAATTGAAAATTATTTCTAAGTACCCCTAAGTAAACCTGAACCCCTAATTTTCGGAAACTCCCAGCTAAGCTTCCGGAGCTGCTGTGACACGGATGCACTGTTGCCGCCAGTAGAAGACAGCCCCCAAGTCACCACAGACCCGTCATCCTTGGTTCCCCACGGAGAGGGTCTAGAGTTTAGGGTTTAGGGGTATGGGGTTTAGGGTTTAGAGATATGGGGTCGCGGGTTTAGGATGATTTAAAGCCAAAACCCCTTAATTCCCAAAGGGTCCTGAGTCCTAAGAAGCTGTACGGGGATACTCGCCCGAACCGCAACAGTAATTCCTACGATAGAAACCTTACGTTCTACTTTGTAGGTACATACTCAGGACCCTGTGGGCTACTGCTCTACCCCTTTGACAGCTAAAGCAATACTTTTTGGAGCTCCCTCTAAAAAGCCCATAACCACATACAGGAACACGCTAAACAAGTTCTCAAGAGCCTTGTAGCAGCATCCCTATTAGTGGCTCCCGGTTTAGGGTTAACGCTCCTAAAACCCGCATAGAACCATATAAGAACCTTGCAAGACCCACATGATAGGGTTGATGATACAAATCCTGCATTACCTTGAGGGCCCTGAACTATGGGAATTATGGTATATTCCTTATTATGGGTAATGCAGGATTTATATCATCAACCGAAGGGTTTAGGATAGATTGGGGTTGAACACCACGAAACCCTATAGGATGTTCACAAGACCCTTCTGAAAAGATGAAAACATGCTAATGCTTGAGAACAGAAAAAGAACCTTATAATACCCTCAGTACTTATTCAGCCCTCATAACAAGAGGGGTGCTGCTTGGCAACCTTATGACAATAGCATAGCACCTTCTATCGACAGAAACCTTATCAACCACAAGACACAGGGTTGCTTAGAGGATCATGGGACTTAGTAAGTCGGAAAAATTGAGACTGTAAGTACCCTAAGTGGGGCTATCTTGATTATAACCTACTTATAATCTGACTTACTAAGTCCCATGAGCCTTTAAGTGCTACCTGGTATCCAGGATGGCGGCGAAGGCACAAAACGACGACTGGATCTGCCGCACATTCCTGAGCCGATGCGAAACCTGGGCTCACGGTTTAGGGATTTAGGGGGTTTAGGGGTTTAGGGGTTTAGAGGTTTAGGGGCTTAGGGTTTAGGGTTTAGGATTTAGGGGTTTAGGGTTTAGGGGTTTGGGTTTAGAGTTTAGGGTTTAGGGTTTAGGGTTCTGGGTTACATAGGGATTCAGAAACCTACTGTTTTAAAGTTAAAGCCTGGGGTCATGACCCATTACTTTGTAGTGTTTGGGGCTACAGGTAGGGTTTAGGGGCTTGGAGGTTTAAAGGTTTAGGGATTCAGTTTGGGATTGAAGGGCTCACCTGGCAAGGCAAGCAACGTTTCAAAAGCTGGAGTTCCACAAACCCTACGCCTTGAACCATGAACCAAATGCACCAGCCAACTAACAAAACCCTAAACCCTAGACCCTAAACCCTAAACCTCAAACCCAAAGGCATACGGCTTTGAGTCGGCGCATACGGATTATGGGTTTTTTAGGGTTAGGGTCCACTCAGAAATCTTGGAGTTTTGTAGGTGGCCTGAAAGGACTTTGGGGTCTTTGTATACTATACTGTAGTGATAAGAAACCTAATCGGTGATTACTTTGATATCATTACTGCATGCTCAGACCTCTATTCTCGCATTTTTCTACGGATAGAGGAGCCGAATTCACCAAGCTACACCCCGGAGCCTTCAACAAGAAGCTCAGGCATCTATAGGCAAGCCAAATAAAGAGTAGCCACCAACTAGCTTGCCCGGTATCCTACGGGGACTAAAATTTAATGAGTGGGGTGAAAATTTATAGGGGATATAGTACGCTAACAGGGATTAAGGTTATCTACTCTACGGCGATGCAAAAAATCATACCTTTGGCTTTCCAGGAGCAGGGAGCTACCCGAAATAATGAGGTTTCTTATTCTGGTAATTGCTTTCAAGTTTCCTAAACCCTAAACGCCTTTAAACCCTAAACGCTAAACCCCCTAAACCCTAAATCCCTAAACCCTCAGCCACTAAACCCTAAACCCCTAACTCCTGTAATAGCACCGAGGGACAGACCCGCTATCACCACCGCAGGTGGGCTCGCCCCAGGTCACCTGGCGGGGCTTGGGAAAAATAGAGGGGCCTTAATAACTAGAGTAGGGTTCCTTTAAAGGGATCTATAGTAGGGTTTAAATGGGTTTTGGGTTTGGCGAACAAAAGAAACATTCATGTTCTATGTATAGAGGGTCATACGAACCAAAGACGTTTCAAGTTAACAAACTTTAAACTCTAAGCCCTAAACCCCGAAACCATGCATTTCAAAGTCTACCACTTAAAGGCTCATGGGACTTAGTAAGTAAGGGTATAATAAGTGGGGGTTATAATTAGGCTAACCCCACTTAGCGGACTTATAACCCCAATTATACCCTACTTACTCAGTCCCATGATCCTCTAAGCAACCTAAACTCCCCCTTCTAGAACCCTTCTAGACCCCTAAACCCCAAACCCTAAAGGATCCCGAAAAGGAGCCCTTTATAGGCAAATCTTCTAAAACCCTTATAGCTCCCTGAACCCTAAAGGATCCCTTAAAGGAGCCCTTAAAAGGAACCTTACTAAGTCCCATGATCAGCCCCGAGCCACCACGGAACCATCGGAAAGGATCGCTGCAAAGGCGCTGCGGCAAGCCTGGATCGCTCGCACATTCCTGCGACAGTGTACAGGGTTTAGGGTTTAGGGGTTTAGGGGTTTAGGGTTTAGGGTTTTAGGGGTTTAGGGGTTCAGGGGTTTAGGGTTTAGGGTTTTAGGGTTTTGGGTTTAAGGATTCAGGTTAGGGCCCTCGACAATGAGAAACATGATTCAAACTTAAGTGGTGTTGTGACATTTGTGTTTATAGGGGCAGTGGTAATTAGAATAACGTTCTGGAAGCAATTATGGTAAAGTTGTTACGAGGAACCCTTATGGATAATCTGGGTTGGCCTTTAAACACCCTGCAAGATATTCATATATAGGGCCCCTCATAAACCCAAATGAGGGAAATAAAAATGTCCCAAAATCCAACCTAGTAATATGGGAGTTTCCGAAATTAGGGGACCCTGATGTAGTACCCCAAATAGTAGGATCCTTATTACAAGGAAAAAGGTACCCCTGATTGTTGGAAACTCCCATATTTATAAGTAGCGAGGAGGTGCTGAACCCAAAGGGCTCCAGCAGCGGGATGAAAGTAGGGTTGAAGCTCCCAAACCGGGGTCCCTGTATAACAGATCTTCAATACCTACTTTCACCTTCACCCCACTTTTCGTGTCTAGGGGTGAAAGGAGCATGAGTATAGTTGCCCTTAGAAACAAAATTGTAGAAAATGAGAAATTTATAGACTCCAACAGCCAAGATTCCTCAGCTGTCCTTGCACAGAGCGGCTGTCTCCACCTCTATGCGATGGTCCCCATGTCACCACCGATCCATCCTCGAGAATTGCAGCAAACGCCGCCTGGGAAGCTTGAATCTCGCGCACGTGTCTCAACCTGGGTGAAGTTTTTTTTTGTTTTTTATGGGCTCTTTTCCATCGGCAGGTACAGCTAGAATTCCTGTACCAGCAGGAGCCAGTGGTTGGGGCCTTGGGTGAAGGGTTTAGGGTCTCCACCTGAGTTCTTGTTTAAGCAGCCTGCTTTAAGCTTCAAGTTGGCAGAGAGAGGATCTGTGATACATAATCTGAAGGAATTTAAGTTTAAGCTACCAAAGCAGGGATCAGTAATGCATAATCTCAAGGAGTGCCACCCACCTAGAGAGCCCAACACGCCCTAATTAGAATACAGATCTGAGTTGTCCTTTAAAACCTTAGAAAGTTGTTTACTATTATGGTTCTCCACAAAATAGTAGGGGAAATTAAAAAAGATCACAAAGGACAACCCTGAGATTAAACGAAAGTATGAAGCCCCGTATGACCCAAGGTATGTTGGGCTCTCTGGATCACGGTTCTAAATTAATTTGCCACCATTGGGGATCTATAGCACCCAGACCACCGGAAAAATCCAACAAGTAGATCCCTTAATGGGGGTTCCTATAAAGTACCCTTAGTAGTATAGGGCCCCAAATTAGGAGATCTACTTTCTAGATCCTCCCGCGGGTCTGGGCAAAGGCTATGGCCCTTAGTATGGTAACATAAAAAAGCTCCTTAACAAGACCCCAGCAACTGATGCTGGACCGAGCTGCTGTCACCGCCATAGGAAGGGTCTCCCCAGGTGCATACATTGCCTGTCTCCAGAATAGCCGCAAAGGCCCCGTTCGAAGCTTGAATGTGAGACCTGGATTGCCAAGCAAGGGCAGCCTTCTTCCGATTCTCCAGTTCATAAAAGCCCCAAAATTCCAACGGCAAGAGGTAGTACCAGAAAACCACAAAACGAAAAGGGCATAACCGTATACTACAAGAGAACCTAGCGACACACATTGACTTAGCAGCCGAAACGTATCAGGGCGAGAGCTTCTCCAAGTGACTGCAGATCCATCTCCCGGACAGGCGGCAAACGCAGAGAATGTGGCGGCAATTTGCCTAAGATCTCCACCAACCTAGGAATACAGAAGGATAGCATTCTGGTATTTTGTACTTTTTTTAGGGACCTTAGGACCACAAAAACGACAGAAAGGGCCCACTGGGAGACCAAGTTGCGCCGGTCGTATCTGCAAGCTTAGGGCCTCCCCAGCCTGCAAGCCAAGCTGACGCACTGTTGCATCGCACATCAGCCTTTCACCGGATGCCCTCAGTAGCACGCCACTTCCCACTTCGAGGAGCATTTGTGCCTGAAGCGTCAGCTCCTGAACAGATGTGTCCATGCTGGCTGTCACCCTGGCTGTCTTACCGCTCATCAGCGCCACGTCGATGGTCACGGGCATCATGATCCCGCTACCTCCCCAAATGGAGAACTTTGAACTTGTTGGCCAACGTTAACCCCGAGCTCTAAACAGAAGAGAGCCCGCGGCCCTCAGTCAAACCACCATGCTGCTAAATCAGAACCTACCCGGTTTAGGGCTATAAAGCATAATCCAGGATCTTGCTGCGGAAATTTTTAACTTACCATAGTATAGTATATCGGGATCTATAGTTAATAGAATGGTTTCCTATGGTTTCGATGCCGTATCAACAGTAAAGCCCTGTCTGAAACTACCGCAACCTGCGCTTGCTAGCTAGGTCTCGACATATTCTGCTTCCGGGCTGATGGTAATGCCCTACAAACAGAGAGGCTATGGCGGCTAACACGCTAAACCCTCAAACCTAAACCGCCCTAAACTCCAAACTCTGAAAAGGGAGCTGAGAAATGGAGCATCTTTGGCCCACAGTTTCTCGAGGAGAAAACAGAGATGACTTGGCGAAGGGTCTAGGGTGCAGGGTTCGGGTCAGGGTTGACTGTCATACTTATATCCAAGGGTCCAAGGAGGGACCCTTAATAAGGACCCTTAGGTATATACCCGTAATATAGCTATTATATACCCATGATATAGCCCATTTTGGGGTAGGGGTCCCAATTAAGGGTCCCTCCTTTTCTCCTTTGATTATAGGGTATCTGAAACCCAAGAGAGACCTACTTATACTGGCTCAACCCTGGACCTTAAGCCCTCCAGCCTCAACCTTGAACCCTCGAACCCTAAAGCCTCAAACCCCTGAACCCCCGAACCCCTAATTAAACCCCTCAAACCTTAAACTGTTCCCTTAACCCCTAAACCAGTAAAAACACCCCTTAACCTGAAAACCCCAAGTCCGAAAATGACCACAAATTCTCTTACCTGAGCCCAAGCCTTCTTCCGCTTCTCCGGGTCTAAAGAGAGCCTGGCGTCTGCCTATATCCCATGTCTTGGGTTGGGTTCAGGGTTCAGGATTTAGGGTCAGTGGTTAAAGGCTTAGGGTTTAGGGTTTAGGGTTGGGGTTTAGGGTTTAGGGGTTAAAGGTACAGGGTGTAGAGGTTTAGGATCTGTGGTTAAAGGTTAAGGGTTTGAGGGTTTAGGTGTTTGGGGTTTGGGTTAACCCCGATACTTGTAAACATGCGGGCGCCCCTCTCGTATTCCAGTTTTCGGGAGGGGGATCCCCCAAAACAAAAACAGCACCATTGGTCCTACCTGGGAACAAAGCAACTTGAGCCCCCCCTCAAAAAACAACAATTAAACCATACCTGCTGAACTGCCAAAGCCCGAAGCCTAAATTGCAAAACGAGTTTAGTAGACCCTCAGCGTATAAACCGTTGCAGAACCCCTGCAACAACCTTAAGAACAACTGAACCTTCTGAAAGACATCTGGGTGGTTGTCAAAATTAGGGTCCCTTTTTGGGTCCTTATTATTATAATACGGCACCTAATACTTAGGGTACCCAAGAAGGGACCCTAATTTTGAAAAGCACCCATCTGAAAAAGCCGGATCCCGAAGCCTGGTTGCACAAGCAGCCCCCTAGACCAGGCAAAAGACAGGCTAGGCTAGGATCAAGGGTCTGCATACAATGAACATGGGAGTTTCCGAAAATAGGGGTTCCTGATTTTGGGGTCCTCATAAGAGGGATCCTATTATTTAGGGTACCATTTTAGGGTCCCCTATTTTCGGAAACTCCCACATGGGGGGCCTCAATAAATGGAACAGGGTTACCGGAATCATTCATTGTATCGTTTTCGTAGACTTTGAAGCGATACTGTAGCGAATTAATCCGACAGCCTTAGGGCTTACGGTTTAGGGTTTAGGGTAGGGTGATAGTTGGAGGAGGTTGCTTCTTGGCGTAGTTAGGTCTCTCCTTGCAGTGAAACGGATTCCCACGGGTCCCTTGCACAAGGCACACGCACCATCCTGATGGAGTATCTTGTGCGAAGAGGCAAGAATGCTGTGAATACCAGCGTTGTAGGCATGTTCACAGAAGACATCTTGATGCTTGTGAGTGCCTGTCTTGTTCTAGAAACGTCAAACATCCTCTTTACATTATGTTGTACAAATAAAGGATAAGAACACTGTAAATGGGGCATGGTCGCCATAGGAACGAGCTTACACCCAGCCCCTTTGGTCAGTGACCCCTAACTGACAATTGTTCAGTGAAGCCAACTGTCTGCCAACTCGGGCTGACGGAGCCGAGCTTGTAGCCACAAGCCGATTGCGCGAAGATGAAGCGGTAGCTCGCATAACCAAAGCTGCGGCAGGACAGAAACACCGTGCAACTGGAGCAAGCGATAGAGGTCTTCTATGCGGACCTTTGTCATCATGCGATACACACAAAACAAAAAAGGAGTTCCGCTTCGGACATTATCACCCCAAACCTACCGCGCGAACTCTGAAACAACCCGAAACAAGCAGGTTAGCACCGGGGTCCTGGGCGCGCGTAACCAACCATAAAAGCCCCTATATGAGACCCTTGAAAAAAACCTAAGAACCAATAGAACCCTTGATATACCCCTTTCATGGAAACTTTAAAGGATGCCTACTACAGTTATTGATGCCTTTATGTAAGTGTAAATAAAGGTTTTTTTTTTATGTGTCCATTTTTATTAAAGGAACCCGAAGCTGCGATCTAGTTGAGGAGTTTCCATTTTACTTACCATAACGGTTGATGATAAAAATCATGCATTACCTTAAGACCCTGGACGATGGGAATTATGGTCTATTCCTTATTATGGGTATTGCAGGGTTTATATCATCAACCGTTTTGAAGAAACCATACTATTTACTATAGATCCCTATTATGGTAACGTAAATTTAGCTCCTTCGCAAGAGCCCAGTTTATTATGGGTTCAAGCTGCAGAAATAGGTTATGCCAAAAACCCTGAACTCCTAAAGACACCCTAAACCCTAAACTCTGAAAGAAACCCTAAGTATCCCTAAACCCTTGAAGAAAGCCTACATAACCCAAAGCCCTTAAGGGAACCCTAAATCCTAAACCCTTAAAGGAACCCTAAACCCTTAAAGAAACCCTAAACCCTTAAAGGAACCCTAAACCCTAAATCCTCAAAGAAACCCTCAACCCTTGGCGGAACCCAGGACAGGGCGAGGAGCAGCTTCGCCCACATCTGCGCAACCGGTGTCGGGGCCGGAGCCTCTCGATCGAGAGGGCTGGGCTTCTGATTTCTTAAGGGGTTTAAGGTTGTAAGGGTTTAGGGCTTAGGGAATTAATCTTGGTGTTTGGGGGGGTTAAGGATTTCGGGTTAAGGATTTAGGGTTTAGGGTTTAAGGATTAGGGTTTAGGGTTCTTCACTAGGATGCCCAGTACCCTAGGAATAAAAAGGGCTCCCTGTTTGGGATTGGGTACTTTAATTCGCCTCGTCAGAAGTTCCTATTCGGGTTCTCCTATTCCCACCTCTTAATCCCCTCCCCAGTGACCCCGCCCCTTCCGCCTTCCCCCCCCCCCCCTTTCCCCCCCCTCCCCCCCCCCCTCCCCCCCCCCTTCCCGCCCTCCCGTCCCCACTCCCCCTTCCCTCCCGCCCCTCCTCCGCTCGCTGACAGGTGCGAGCTTTCTGGAGTTTTCGACGACGCGGGACTGCAATGTAGCATCTTTATATACGTCTCAGGCTTGTTTTAGACGCCCTTTCGTTGGGATAGGCGGAGTAACGTGGTTGAAAAGGCTGTGATGCTTCCCTAATCCAAGACGCACAGCCTCAACGGCCCATACTTAAGGCATCCCGCCGCTTGCGAGAGTCTTGGTATCCAGTGTTTCGGAATGACGACACCAAAATTCGTACTGATACTACCACTACTAATACTACTCACAATCATCCTGCTTCGTGTTGCTATGAACATTACTTTTACTATAAGTGCGATTCCAACTGTTACTTTTTTCCTACAAGAGCTTGCTGCAGATAGTAGCCACTCGCCGCATGCGCGTACAGCCGGGCCGAGGCGGACGACGCGCAGCGTTTCAAATAAGGAACCTAGGACTCAAAACGGGAATAAGGGTACTACTGGGAATCCTAGTCAAAGGTTCCTCAGGGCTTTGGGAGTTTAGGGTTTCGGGTTTTACGGGCTTACTTTTTTGTTTTAAGGCTTAAGGCTTATGGGTTTAGAGGGCGTTTAAGGGTTTAGGGCTGAAGGGGTTTAAAAGGTTTTAGGATTTTAGGGGTTAGTGTTTGGGGTTTAGGGCTAAGGGTTTGAGGACTTAGGGTGCGCAGAGAGCGCAACACCCCTTAATTCAGGAATTTGCTTAAAATCATAAAGATGAAGGTTTTCATGGTTTAAGGTCTATTCCTCAATTCAGGATGGGTTTGGGATTTAGGGCTATAGGGTTTAGGCTTGGGTTCCGGATTTGGGACTTTTGGTTCGGGGTTTTGGATTCCTGGTAATTACTTGGCTGACTTCTGAACCCCTCCTTAAAGTTCAACTTTTGGCCTCCTTACTATAGTTCATACAGAAATCCAAGAAGTTAGTCTCCTAACCCGAAACCCTTAACCCTGAACCCTAAACCCTTATAGTTCATACAGAAACCCAAAAACTTAGTCTCCTAAGAGCCAACCAGAAGAACGCCAAGTCTAGCCCTTCAAAATAAGCCCCTAAAGCCCCAAATCCCTACACCCCTGAACCCTTAAATCCTAAACCCTAAACCCTTAACCCTAAACTCTAAACCCTAAACCCTAAACCCTTAACCCTAAACCCCTAAATCCTAACCCCCCCCCCCCCCCAAACGCCAAGATTAATTGTCGGCTCAGGGTTCAGGGAAGACAGGGCTGCTAGGCAAAACACTCCTACCTAGAGTAGGTAACCTTTAACCTTGTTAGGGTACTATAATTGTAGTATCCTTAAGGGAGGGGGGTCCTAATTCTCCCTAGTACTCCCTAAGGTTCCCTTACAGTCCCCTAAGGATTCCTTATACCCTCCCCTTGAACCACCCCCCCTTGAGGATCCTATAATATAATCCCTACAAACATGGAACCTTTCCAATATC